ACACATCCCGCCCACATCCCATTCTAGCAGCTCCGCTCCGCAACTTGGAAACCCGCCGGCTGGCTGACTGGGGCTCCCGTAATATCCTGGGAGTGTAATGGCCCATTCCACACAGTGGAAGCGCAATCAGCACGCGGAATAATATTTTAAGGAGCCTTGAAAAGCTGCAGATGTCTGAAATCACCCATAGCGGAGGCAATAACGTCATGCTTCAGCCAGTTCCATATTTCCAAAACTCTAACATCCCCCAATGGGCCCCATTCATGCAGCTCCTCAATAGCTGTCCAGACCTCATACAGGAACATCCTCTTCCGGCTGTGCCAAAAATCGTCAGCCAGAGAACGAAAGCAACAAGAAAACCTCCTGTTTAACTATCAGTTTTTGACCTAGAAGAGCCATAAAAGGCCGACACAGGCTGTAGCAAGGCAAATAATCTAAAGGCATCACTTTCAGACGGAAAGCATGTGGATCTTACCCTGGAGAAGCACAAGGAGTTAAATTAAACAAACCTATACTTGAAAGAACAGTAAAAACGTTTCGGCTAACCTTCGAAGCATTAATTACACGAAGGAAAGATTATCAGAAAGGAATTGTAAGCAGTATGTTTTCTTGAAGATAATCTTGCAGGTCAGAGTTGATAAAAGCCCTTGTCAGGCACACAAAGCCTTGATACAAGGTTGATACAGTAGGAGAGTTGCCGACTTACCACACCAAGAAAAGGTTCTCTCTTCATTTGCAAGACTGCATGGTTAATAGTTATTGACAGCAAATGAGATAGAGAGTGAAAAATAAACTCTAAATCTTTCTCTAGCGCCGAAAACAAACTGCAAGCGTGGCTCCGTGGCTCAGTAACCCCCAGATCCTCATTCACTTTCACTCTGTTAGTTTTTGTACATTAATATTTTGTGGCAGTTGCGATACATATCTTCCATCTACCAGATGCAAAGCCTGTGACTAACACTCAAGAGCCACACAGAAGGAAGAAACAAATAAGAGAAGAGACTCCCCATAGCAGGAACTGTGCTGTTCTTCATATTCTGCTTTAGTTTCCAACTGATTTCATCAGGGGGGTTCACAGTGATGTGGTCTTTTTGTTGTTGTGTTTTTGAAGGAACAATAAAACTGCAGTGATTAGTAACAATGGAACACAGAGGGTCACTAGAACACAACGACCACAGAAAGAAGACTTGCCGCATTGTTTAGAGCAACGAGGAGACTGTTGCTTTTTTACCTTCTGCTATTTTAGGAGCACCTTTCACATGCGTGAAAAACGCAAGAACCCAGGATGGAAATTAAAGGGAGTCCAGCATCAGATGACAAGCTGTACTGGTGCTTCATGACGATATCCTTCCAGGACTTGAATCCCACGTTCCCAGAACGAAGGCGGGTTATGCGATAATGGTCTACATGAGTCACACCAGAGTGGAGGCCACCTGCGTTCCACCACTGGTCTGCTCTGACTGCTAAAGAACAGAAGAAGAATGAGAGCAGAGAGTGGGGCTTTGATTTACATGAAAAAAAAGAAAGAGATCTATTAAAACATTTTTTATGAGCCATAATTGCTATTTCAGCTCAGGACTCCATACACTGGTTAAAAATACCTCACAGCATAATTCATCTTTACAACCACTTCCTGTCTTTTCCATCATATGCTACCTATTTGGTCTTTGGAGTGCACCTGGTCTGAATTGGCCTAGGACTGGATGGTAATTTGCATTGAAGTGTTTATAACATGGAGTCAAGTTTTTAACAGGAGACATATGCCTGAAGCTAAGCAGGCCCCGCGACTGTGGCCAAGTCTCTGAGCCAGCCAACTGGAACAGGAAGTGAGCTGTGCATTCCTCACTGCCGGCTTCGCCCCGGCCTCTTCACTGGAGGCAGCAACACTCGCATCTCTGGCACTCCTCTGAACTGAAGCTCACGTGCAGATGGCAGAGACGGCAGGAAAACTCCCCTGCTCTCTCCTACTGCAGGTTTCATCCTAAAATGCTTCTTTTAAACCATAAAAAAAAACCCCAAAACCTAATGACCTCAAGAAAATATTGCTGGAGAGCAGCATCTACCCCACACGTGACACCCAACATCCTCAGAAGAAAATGGGCTCAAGAAACGAGCAAGAGCAATTGAAAAGGGGTTTTAGCTTGCAGAACCTGCTCTATTTATGGAAATAATAAAAAACTAAATCTGTTATGAGTATGCATTGCTAGGAAACAGAACATAATAAAAGGGGTAAGTTAGGTCTGAAGTTCCAGCATTTCATTACAACCAGGATTCTACTACAGGGATTCCTTTAATGTAAGACTACTGCGCGCCGTATTCGTACCACATTCAGCACGTACTGGCAGGGCATCAATGCAGTAGGCAGAATATAAAGAGAGGTGAGAACAAAGCACGGGCACACACGCTCTGATGGAAGGCAGAAAGGGATTAAAGCCACACGAGCACTTAGAGGTTAAAACAACAAAACTGCTACTGTAACCGAAGAAATCATTTGAATAAAAATGTATTTGGGACGAGGTAAGGTACAGACCTTCGATATTTGGATAAAATGCACTGGATCTAACTCCCAAACAATTAGGAAGAGATTTTCAGAGCCAACTAGATTTCAGAGTTAAGTGGGCATGTTTGGTGGCCAGTGTCTCCACAAAACACAGCACGGTGTGCCAGTAGTCATGTCAGTGAAAACAGCTGTGACCAGCTAATTAACAGACTCCCTGATGAGGAACAAGAGAGGTGCACAATAATGTTGGCCAGAAAACTGTTTCCACAAAATACCTGACAACCATATCAAGAGGTTTCGATTTATCCAGAGGGACATTTGGAGTTTACTAACATTTTCCAGCCATTCAGCGGCACCATGGACCTAACCATCACTTCGTCTGGTGGCGTCCCGCTGCTGGCGAGCTCATAGAGAGCTCAATACAAGCTGCTGCGGCGACACGGAGCCGTGCGTTTGTCTTTGTACTGCAATGACAGGTAAACACTGCACATGCCGTCTCGCTGGAATGATTACTTTTCCTCTCCTGAAACACGGTGGCTCTGTGGCGAAGGACCTGTGCCTGTGGCTGGAAGGTTGCAGGTTCAAATCCCGCAGCCGGCAGAGGAATCCTACTCCGTTGGGCCCCTGAGCAAGACCCTTAACCCCAACTGCTCCAGGGCGCTGTACAATGGCTGACCCTGCGCTCTGACCCCAGGCTCTCTCCCTGTCTGTGTGTCTCATGGAGAGCAAGCTGGGGTCTGCGAAAAGACGAATTCCTAATGCAAGAAATTGTAAAGGGTTAATAAAGTGATGATGTTAATGTACAGACTGAGTCCAAAGACAACTGCCAGAGCTGTCTAAAAACTGTGCTGTGCGATTATGCGGTACTCGCCACTTAAATTGCTTTCTGTAATATATTTCCTGTAAAAAAAGACAGTCTAGTGGTTCCAGACTTTGTCCCATTCCCTTTTTATACTACAGCTGATGGCAGTAATGGCGAATCATTCCATCGCTGTTATGAGTTATGCATCAAAGACGTCTAGAACGGGGATTACGGGAACTGCCCGATAATAATACCTCTGTTGTGATAAAGCATTTATGCATCTGATGGAAACTCCTCTTACAAAGCTGCTATGCGATGAAATATAATCTCTCCTGCACATGACCCATTACACTACACTGCAAGGCACGGTGATGAAAGCAATGCCCATTACCCATTACTGCAAAGAGCAATGCAAGATGCTTACAAGCATTCTCGTGTAACACTTTGTTACTGTAGTTAATACACCTCTTCCAGTTAAATTATACAGCAGTAAGGGTTGCTGCACTGGCCCTAGTAACTGTACAGAATGACAGGGACAAACACTGCTTGAATGGTCACAGGATGAGCCGACTACGAAATGTTCCTGTTCTCAGCAACAGATTTGGTTTTGAAAGCGTCTTCAGTTCCGATCACCCGTTCCGTTCTGTGTGTTCCCGGACATGACCGCCGTGTACTCACGGGTGATTTTCTGGATCAGAGGCGACAGTTCAGGCTCCTCCAGGAGCACGCGGACCAGAGCAGCCGCCAGCTCCCGCTCGGCCTCCTCCAGCTCCCGGCTCACGCTCCTGTCTCCCGCCAGGGAGTACACGTAGACCAGCAGCACCAGCAGCTCCTCGGGACCCTGGTCGCTCTCCGCCCTGTCCGCGTGAGGCTTCACGAGAGGCAGGACCTGCCTCAGCACCCCAGCCAGGTCCGAGTCCCCCAGAGCCTGCAGTCAGACAGCAAGAGGGAGGCGTCAGAGCGGCGATGGACTGGATTACTGAAAAATGGCTCAGATGGGATTCACCACTTCTGCCAGCAAGCTACACTAAAACTACAGAACTTCGATTTGGTACGCAGTGTTATAATGTGTCCGGCGGAGAGGACAGGAGAAGCAGTCAGTCACGGCTCCCCAGAGGCAGAGTGGTGAGATGAAGACCATACTGGAGCCACGTTGCCTCCTCACAGAGCCGGAGGACCAGGACTCAAGGACTCAAGCACCAGGGTCCACCAGCACACACAGCTCTTCCAGAATGATCACGTCTGGCCTGTAGAAGGTCTTGGGAGTCAGGACTTGTAATTCTATACAGGGCTGCCTGTGGTTTCCTAGTAATTCCACAATCAACAACACGCCCATAACTCACCGAGAACGGGCACATATCAGATCAGAATATTTTCTCCTCACTATTTTCACCTGTCTAACTAAGTGAAGCAATGCCGCTCGTTCCAGGTTTCGATACGCTGTAGGGAAGACGCTCGGACTGGGGTGACACCTGGCACTATGTCTGGGGAGCAGAGGTTCACCGAAGATTAGGCCTGGCCAGCAGACAGCAGCCCTGCAGGTGTGAGCTGACACTGCAGCACGTAATGCTCGTGTCGCTGCTGTAGCAATCGCAGCACAAGCAAGGATGCTGGGAAGAGCCGCAAAGCTCATTCTCCCACTCGAGAGGCTCAGTAGTGGAGACACTTCTGGTTTCATCTTCTGTTGTGCTTCTAGAGTGGTGAAATTAACATCTGGGTTCACTGTACAGATAGAGACAAAATTACAACAAAATCTCCAGCTAAACATTCCCCAACGGTCAGTCGCGCTGATTTATTTGAATGCAAGATGTGGAGCTTAGTGTGACTGTACTCACTCGGGTTAAGAGCTACCACAAAAGGTTTTTCACAGGAAGATATTCGGTTATATACAGTTCTACAAGTCTTGTATATTAAATTTGGGATATTCACCTACTTTCTGCTAAACTAAGAATAATGAAATGGGTCAAACTCATTGTTGACGGATTTGACACTGCGCACACTGATGGTTTTACTAGATCATCCACATGCTCTGAAAAAGCTACTCAACTCCTCACAGCTCGGACAGAACAGTGCACTGCTTCACTGCCAGTGAGGGAAAGGGCTTACAGTTACAATCACACTATGACACATTATGAATTTCTAAAGGTCTTACTTTGATTAGACACGCGCTGCATAATCCCTTTGAATTTATAATTGTCTGGCTAAAAAGACATTTAGCATCCTGCATAATAAAACCATACCACTGCTTAAAAACAACCCTTTTAAATGTCAGGCTGTGCGAGTCGTCTTGGAGTCGGCCTCCGAGCAGATGGGCCTCTTTCTCTGCCTCTCAGGCCGGCAGTGAGGGACTTTCTTACAGCCAGACACAGCACATGGCTGCAGCAGCCTCCCTCCCCTCCAGTATGCTCGTCCCATGCCCAAGCAACAACACAGGGTAACGGCAGGGCATTACATTGAAATGATACTGCTTAATTCATGTAATTTTATGCTTGAACTAAAAAAAGAAACACCAGTAACTTCTTATTTTCTTAGTGCATGGTCAAAGTTACTGGTGAATGGCTATAGCTCATTACTGCTTAATAACAGGATACAGCCTTGTTGTTATTTTCTGAACCTACATTACAGAGTTCACTTCGCAGTTCTTGTAAACAGTATTTAGCATCGAATAATACTCATTGAGAGGAGAACAGGGAACACAATGTACCAGTACATAATTTATTTTATTTAACAAGGGCATATCCTCAGAAACACAATGATGGAAATATGCACTTGTAGATTAAGTATGTTTATTCATGCAATATTTAAAGTGCTTCACAGGGCAATAGTTTTAGCTGAGATCAAATGAAATCATGTCTCAACATCTGTCACTTTGTTTGGTTGAAGAAATGTGGCCTCAGAAGCATGTGCAAAACAAGGAAAAAAAAGTAAGATAACAATAACAAAAACCTTCACTACAATGTGTCTCAACAAAACCTAATTTGTAAAAAAAATCATCAGGGTGACAAGAAGACTTTACAAATCAAAAATGACGGGTGCTATATACTTCTTTGAATTCTACTGACATGTTCCTTGGGGCTTGGTGAGAGTTGTTGGCACCTCACCGCTCTGCTGTGTGGTCAAACTTCAGACAGCTCGGTCATGTACTCTTGACACCGACGCCCCCTTCGCATCCACAGGGTCACTGCAGTAAGCAAGACGCCCCACTGGGCTGGCGTGAGCAGACAGGGAGTCGGCCCAAGCCACCGTGGAGCTGCAGGGTGCTGGCCTCTTCTCGCCCGCTGCATCGCCAGGCCGGGCGATGTTGTGGAAGAGCCTCGCAGTCTCGGCAAGCTGCTTGTGCCAACGGTTGTGTGCTTCCTTCTTTCCTTCCTTCCTCACCCTGCTCTCCTGGATTCTGCCAGGCTGCTGTCCAGCGCGCAGAGGCTTCACTGTGGTTTGCGGCCCCAGACAGCTCTACCTGTTTCCCCGCTGGGGGCTGGCGGCCGGTGACTCAGAATGACCCAGAAAAACCTGATGGAAGTCAGACTCCAAGAATCGTTCCGGGAGCCCCTGTCGCTCACGTACTGTGAATGATGGCTTGCTCTCAGCACTGAAATGTGGCAGCTCTAAAGAAAACCCCCTTAACTTTCAAAACGCCTGAATGCCCTTTAGATGGAATACAATGAAAATGGATGAACACTGCAGGTCTAATTCTTGTGTTACACACAGGGCCTTCATTAAATTACACTGTTCTCTTTCGGTTCTATAACACTCTTTTATACATATTTAACATTTTCTGAAGATCTGCACTGTTTCAACATTCAGCCCTTCAGTTTTCAACGAGCTGCTCCTTTACACCTTGGCCCCCCGCCTGAAAGTCACAGGGATTCAGATATGAAGGTTACAGGAGCCAAGACCAGGTGTGACCAAAACGTCCCCTGTGTGGGATTGAAACCAGTAATTTCTCAAGAAACTCCTGACATGCACCGTGCCAGGGTTTCTCAGCACCTTTCTTGAAGGCCCCATCTATACTGGCCTAGTGTTTGAATAACTCCTGTGGGACTTCAGGTATTTGCATCACCTTCCAAAAGAAAAGCAAGCAATGGAGTCCTTAACACGCCATCAGAATACAAAAGGACCCTTTCCACTCTGAATATTCGCCCTATCCTGCAATCATTCCCCAACTTACAATAGCAAGCACCTTAGTCTGTGCATGGCTGTGGGCAGTGGAGCTCCTGCTGCAGTCTGGAGAGGTCTGCATGAGGATAAAGGGTGTGTGCGAGGAAGGTGAACTGTTTGAAAGTCAGAAACGGGAACTCTAACCCTTTTCAGGCAGGTCAGCACAAAGAGTCTTTCTTTCTCCAAGGGAGGGAGGTTCAACCCAATGACAACAAAACACTCTGCCTTCAAGAGGCCAGCTCTGTAACTGCCCCATTATCCAGCTCTGCTAACGGAAAGGTAACAATCACCGAAGCATTCTGCTTAGGAATGTTTTATTTTACTGTCGAGTCCAAAAATAACAGAGAGACTGACCCTCGTCCACGGCGCTTGTGGAATTCCTGTTGGTCGGGACTGACCAGCTCCAGGCCTGGAGGGTTGCTGCAGCTGCAGACTCCCATTCCAGCTCAGTCCTTAACGCCCCGGTGGATAACTGGCTGAACTGGAGCAGTTTAACAGCACTTCCCAGCTCTGTGGCGCTGTAGCCCCCAGGACTAGAGATGGGCAAACCCGCTGTAGCTAATTGCTAATTCTGATGGCATCAAGAGCCTCAGGATTTTATTAGGAGGAAGAATGTTGTTTATTTCAGATAGAGCCCGAAAGCATTCATGTTAATGTTGTACCCAGGACAGGAATCACGAGAATGTCCGTGAAAAGCAGTGCCACTGAGCCTTCTGTAATGTAACTTTCTGTGCTTTGCTTGCTTTGGAAAACTCAATCACTGTGCCAAAAAGCATGAAGCAAGCACAAATGTCAGTACTATGTCGGCTCTACATCCTACATCCATCGCTCTCCAGGAACTGTGCGACACAGCAGAGATACAGGCGGGTGAAAGCTCAGTGTTTGCTGGAGAGATGTCCACAAGTGGACATGCACAGAAGGAGCACTAACATGAGAACATAAGACAAGCTAAGCTCAAATGACGGAAGGTCATTAACATGATAGGATCTTTTCTATGCAATAAGCAAAACATATTGTGCTCTATCAATGGTAGAGAAGGTGTAACTGACACCTAAACAAGCAGATAAATCATAACATCCAACATGTAAAAATATAGAAACTAAAGATTTTTTTTTGTGGTGGATGGTGTTGGTTAAGTTAATGTGAGAAACACAAAGGCAGGAGGGCACAAACAGACTTTTTAAAGCCTCCCTTTCAAAATATTTTTCTGAGACTGGACGTCTTGCTGAATGTTTCAGAAAAGAAACTATCACAATTATCCAGCTCTTACAAAACAATCACTGGTAACCGTCATGTGTTCACAAAAAACGACTTTAATGCAGCGACCTCAAAACTGCTGTGAAACAGGGTAGGCTATACTGTTCATAGTAAGCTAAGTCATAGAAAAAGAATTACAGACCCCAGTAGGCAATCAAAAAAACTATTTGTTATTCTCTGTATAGCTATGGAATGTCTAAAAATGTCAAAACCTCTCTCAAAACGTGTGTGTACGATTCCTCACGCTGTGTCCAGGTCAGGCCTGGTTTATTCAGCTGTCAGAGAAAACTGTCATGATAATGGGAAACTGTGACGCGCGAGTCTCTCTGGAGATCTGCTCTTATCCAACGACAGTTCAGAATAAACACAGAAAACAGTCTGACCAATTCATTTTCAGATAAGGCTGATTGTGATTACAGGAGACCTGCTTACACAGGCAAGAGAAACAAGAGCTTTTTTCAGAGTTTTTTTTTCCATTCACTTTAAAAAAAATTCTCAGAGACTATTTTAAAA